GAGAGAGAGAGAGAGAGAGAGAGAGAGAGAGAGAGAATGCAGCAACCTGCCTATCGAAGGGGAAAAAATACGAACACAGCGACACCAACGACAACGACAGAAAACATCGTACCAACTTCAACAGCATACCAGCAGTACCAGCAAGGGCAGAAGTAGGCGACAGTGAGAGAATCCTCGCTTTTTCCGCAGCGGTCAGTGCCGCAAGAGTACGGACTCTGCTGCCGATTCGGCCTGTGCCGAGCGACCTCACCGGGACTTCACTCGGCACTACCACCGAGTGCCCTCGACATCGGTAGCTGAGCCATGTTTTGGCACACTCTGCGGTGTCACTTTTGCCGAGCTGATGCACCTTCTTGGCTTTGTTGTGTGTTGAGGCGCAATGCTTCCTGTCTGCCTGTCTCTCGCACACCATTGTTTATGTTGAGTGTGCTTCACACCCACGTCCTTTGCTGGCAAGATGTTGTTTCTTTGATTTTCGTTTTCCTCCGTTCGTGCCAGAGATGTATGACGAAACGGTACGTGGAAGAGCCTCCCTCGATTCCACCCTCCTCCTCTGTCCCCCCCGCGCTGTCCCGAAATTGAGCAGAGGACAGGACGACCGTGCGCCATCAAGCGCATCCCGCTGGCCGACCCGCAGCTGGATGAAGGGGGCGGTGGGGGGACATCACCCTCGCCGCGAGACGCACAGGCAGAAAAGAGCACGGCCGTAGCGGCAGCAAACACAACGGCATCAACAATAGCAACGAAAGCACCAGCGACGCCAGGGGTGGTGACGGCGGAGGAGTTTGGGGGGTTGGGCGAGGGCGTGGCGGGGGACGGGGAGCGGAGGGGCAACTTGCGCAAGTATATGACATACGAGACATGCGTGAAGGAGGTGCGTGTCTGTAGTGGACATCCCTGCTTATCCATTCAGACGGAATGGCAAGCTCTGCGCGTAGTTTCTTCCTGACTATCTGGCGCTCTGGTGCTCTGTCTGTCGATCTGCCTCTCTTCCCCGCGTCTCTCTCTGGCTTCCTCCCTCTTCGGGGTGATTGCGGCGTTGAGTAACTGGTTGTGTTGCCCGTCGGCGCCGGCGAGAGAGAGGGACAGCGGGGAACAGAAACAGCTGAAACGCATTCCCTTCCCTCTTGTCGTACACGAGAAGAGGCCAGGCCGCTGTCGGAAACGTCAGTAGATTGCTGACTGGCTCTTGTCTGTCCTGTGCCATATCTTCGTTTTCGTCAGGCTCTTCACCCATACACCGAACGTGGTCCGTCATGTTTTTTTGTCTCCTGCTCCCTTTTTGTATACCACATGTTTTACGCAGGTTGGGCTCTTGAAGAACCTGGCCAGCCCGAATATCGTCAAGCTCCACACATGTTTTCTCGGCCACAACGCGTTGTGGGTGGTGATGGACTGGATGGACGGTGGAGACCTCAAAGGCACGGAAGTTTCGGTGGTGTTGTTCGTTCGTACTGCTATCTCTGTTGCTGCTGCGCAATTTTGTTGGTGCCACACGAAACAGATAACTGTGTCCGGTGACTCCAACGATGAATCGCACGTTCGAAGTGGTGCCTCGCCCATCCCCTTGCTTGCCTCATTTGGCATGCACGAGCAAGTATCGGGAGAAGGCTGTTGAGAAATATGGCCGTTTTAATCATACATGCTGTTTTGCTTCCAAAATTCCAAGTTCCGACTAGGCAGATTTCCGATTTTTTCGAAACAATTCGGAAGCAGATCGTTCCATTTTTTCGGTGTGTGTCAGTAGTTTCCAATTTTCCAAATTTAGAAATTTGGAAGCGAAATAGCTGCTGTTTAAATCGCCGCTATGGTGGACAAGGGCAGTGGGACGCCACTCTCCCCTCCCTCTAGTCGATTCCACCATTCTAGTGAAGGCCCTCTGTGTTTTCTCACCAGTCATCCCCTCCCAGGAAGGGGTTGCTGGTATGGGTATGTCTTGGAGACAAGTGATAGCAGTTGAGCTACGCCAATACACCGACCCCACTTCCTGCTCTACTCCAAAAACCACCACCGCCGCTTCAGGAGTGCTGAGGCGCACGAAGCAGTCGGGGCGACGACTGGACGAGATAACCGTGTGGGGTTACTTCACCCAGATCTGCGACGCGCTGCTTCACATGCACGGGGAGCGGATCATCCACAGAGACATCAAGCCCGCCAACGTGTTCGTGTCTCGCGATGGGATCGTCAAGCTGGGGGACCTGGGGCTAGGCCGGTACGGAAACGACATACGTTCGTGCGTTCGCGACATCCCACTAACTGTCATTTTCCTTCGTTCGCTCGTTCGCGATTTCCCACTCACTCTCGTGTTCCTTCCTCGTTTCGTTCATCAGTCTGTGGCGACTTTTTAGTTTTTTTTGTTTTGTTGCGGCTGCCTCATTTGTTTTCGCCTACAATAGCGGCGTGCAATTCCGAGCCGTGACGGATGTTTCGCGAGAAACTCGCGGAATCGAGCGATGAATCATTCTTTGATAGAACCCAATCCCGCGTTCCACATGGAAAATACGCGATCAGGGTTGCCGTCGGCCATGTGGTAGCGTGCGTGCGTTCGTATGGCCAGCAGTACCTCCGCAGCCAGCTTCGTTTTATTGCGATACCCCGGGCATGGCGACCGCTTCGGAAAGTGCCCCCTAACACTCAAAGGCGACGCTATCGAAAACCACTACGACGATTCAAGTTTGTTGTAGGCTTAAGTCCGTAGGAGGTGAAATGTTGAGAGGAAGGGGAAGGCCAGCACCCCTCTTCGCTGGACCGGCACCGTTTGTACCTACCCGGTTTTAATCCTTGGTAACCCCCACCCCGCCCTCCGCTTTCAGATACCTCAGCGCCCGTAGCGTGTTGGCCATGTCCCAAGTGGGCACCCCCCTCTACATGAGCCCCGAGACGCTTAAGGGCCAGGGCTACGACATGGGTTCGGATATCTGGTCCCTGGGCTGCGTCCTGTACGAGCTGGCCCAGCTCGAGTCGCCTTTCGCGGGCAAGCACCTCACCATGAAGACCGTGAGTGCTGTTAAGAAGAAGTTGAAGGAAGATAGGGTTTTGACCCTGCTTGTTGTTCCTTCTCGGAAGGCAGCTGGCAGGCATATATGGATGGATAATAGTGATGTCTCGGAACTCTTGTCCCCTGTGGGGTCTGTTCAATGTGTCGTCGGGCAGAAGCACCTCTCCGTGGCCGTGGTCGAAGTGCCGCCGCTTTTTTTTCAAAGAATCACTTTGAAAGCTTAAATCGAAGGCAAGCTCTGCGGGAGGGAAGAGCGGAGAACTATCCGAAGCCGCCGGAGACCGCGCCTTCATTGCTTCAGTTGCTCCCCATTCCGTTTGTCTCAACAATGCCGTCTGGTGCTCCTGTTTTGTCCCACCTCAACAGCAGTCTGCCTCTCTTCCCTGTGACCCTTGTCCACATCCCCGTTTCGAAACGCAGCTGTTCCGGAAGATCGTGCAAGCGGAGTATCCGCCACTGGACTGCAAGACTTACAGCCCGTGCTTGACCAACCTGGTGGCCCATCTCCTCATGCCAGACCCCACCATTCGCCCCAGGATTGAATTGGTACGCTTGGCTTTGCTGTGGTGCTTATCGCCTCGGTCGTCATCGTTGTTGTGGTGGTAGTCGCGTTTGCGCTCGTTCCCCTGTGACCAGCTTGTCTTTTGTTCACGTATCTCCTGCTTTCTTTTCCGTTTTCGCCCGAAACACCCCCTCCCACAGGTTCATCAAGCGGCTCAGCTGGCGTTTGAAGCAACCCTCAAAGGGATTGAGGTAAGGCTAGAGAACGGTCATGCACAGCAGCAGTACCAAGGGATTGACCTCTGTTTGAATCCCCTCTTGATGCTTGTTGCACGCATCCCATGGACACCAACCACAAGTTCTGTCGCCCTCCCATTACAACTTGGCAGATACGCTCCGGTTCTGTTTTCGATTGAGCAGCCTCTTGGCGTTGACCTTGCGAACCATGATGATTTGGCCAACCAATTCACGGAGTGCCTGTTGATGATCGGAACAACCCTCCTCTGTTCCCCTCGCTCATGCCCCCTAGGCGAGCGGACCAATACAATACCATCTCACGAAAGGACACGGAAAGCGTGACGTACACCCGCCCACCCGTAATGCACCGCACCTAAACCCAACCACCTGCCAGGGTCTCGATATGACCCAACTGGAAGCTTGCCAGCGGGGCACCAAAAAAACCAATGCAACACCACCTCACGAGAGCACACGGGACGCGTGACGCACACAAACCCACCGACATGTAATTTGTTTTTTTTGTCTTGACTCAAATCAGCGCTCACAGCACTGGTGCCGTTTACTCCAACCCGTGGTCACACAGAAGAGCCCCTCTTTACCCTCCCCTCCTGCGGTACTTAGCCTTCGATCTTAAATGCGAGAAGAGTTCAGCACTCTCTTCCCTCTGTGTACACACGAACTATTATATTATAGTGCTATCGACTAGTCCAGGAGCGGAAGCGAGAGAAAAACTCACTTTACAAGAACAGCTCGCTTACGCCGGGATTCGAACCCCTGACCTGACCTCGAGAAGGTTTCGAGGATACCGACTAGACCACCGGGGCGACCGGTGCCGTATGTACCACATCCAATCCCAATAACCTGCCAGGGTCTGGATATGGCGCAGCTGGACGTTAGCCAGCACGGGCGGGCTCAGCGGGACGGCGACAGCCCTGTCCCCCAAGCGACGACCGCCACAGACAGCAGCGTCGAGTGCGACCTCGTTGTAGCCGTCCCTGCTGCAGACGCAACAGGGGGGACAGCCGAAACCACGGCCACTGCCACCCCAACCGCCCTCTCCACCACCCCAGAAGCAACCGAAGCACCAGCACCAGCTGCAGGTAGAGGAGGACGACTTGAGGCCCAAGACACGTGACAGGGCCATCGGAAGCGTCTCGCAATTTCTTGTGATGAAGCAGGCGCCAAAGACGGTTGGGGCCGAACATTTTAATGAGTAGAGCGAGTAGAGTGCTTTTTTTGGTGGAACATAGGTAACGTGGCAATTGAACGAAATGACGCGGATTGTGTGTAAAATGATGTTTATTGTCGTTTTGTTTTGATTTGTCCTTTGTGGTGCTGTACATGGGTTGGCCTCCGCGCAGATAAATAGGTCCTCTGACCTGTGTATAGATGATTTCACATAATTGTAGTGTGAGAGTAGTGGGAATGAAAGTGGATGGAATCCTAGACTATTCACAGGTAGCGGGGTGGGCATGCGCCGCCTGGCCTGCTCTCTTAGAAAGCGCCGCTGCGGCACAGGGTGACATAGAATGTGAATGGTACATATTCGCACGGCAGTTGTAGATTTTCCCTGTCTGTTCGTTTGATGTTCGTTGCGTTTGGTGTAGACTCAACCAGCACACATCAAGTGTGATATTAAACCTCGACGTTTTGTCACCCCATGCCCTGCAGCGCTTCCTCCTACAGCAATCGGGCACACCTGTGGTAAGCTGTACACTCACGACCGGCCCGCTCTACGAAAAACGCACATTCACTACATTGCTGTAGTTTCGCCAGGCGCCCAAGATTGAACTCTCAGCCCTCGGCTACGTCCTACAACCATTTACGATCATCGGAGGATCAGTGGGTATCCCGTACCGTACTTGACATAGCGGCTGCGTACTTCTGATCCAAACCCTGGATCAGTCAGATCAGAAACATGAACACTGCTCGGATGTGAGTACATGTAGACTAGCAGTAGTGACGGAATGACATGGGTTGGTCGCGTGGAAAGAAAAAAAAATGCGGTTGTACCCAACATGATTCCCCGGGACCCCTGCTGCCAGCGCACCTCTCAGCAGTTAGTACACAGCACAGCACCGACCTTCCTTGCCTTCCTGTTCCGGTCCGGTTGGTCACTTCGCCGCGCCACTTTTGTATAACCAGCAACAATCAGCTAGGGCCAGCAGGTGTGCGATATTTGTAGCAGGACGCTTGACCCGAGTCGCTAAGAAGGGCATATGTGTTGGACTTTTTTTCAACATGGTAATCAGCAGTGTGCGGCGTTGCCCGAAGACTCACTGCACGTGCACCAGCACTCCTCTGGTTTTGCTGTTGTTTGGTCTCGCGGCATGGAAGCGACCTCTCGTGGCCGAATTTAACCACGCAACACCCCGCCTGTCTTTGTTGGCGACATCTTCAATCACGTATTTTCTGTCCATACGGGCCGCGACGCTCGTCCCACACGTGGAAACAAGGAACAACGCGAGAGATTGAGAGAGAGCCAGCGCAGGCGCCAAGGGAGAGCGAGAGAGCATCAACAGCAAATCAACGCATTCCCGAACACCCTACCAGAAGCGGCCATACGATCTGCTTTCTTCGCGAGGGGAAAAGCATTGGAAAGTGGCTCAACAGCCGCGGCAGTCGCAGCAGCACGAACGGCAAGGGCTTGCTAAAGCCAATATGACAGATGTCCATGTACAACGGCGTTGTGGTGGTGGTGGCCGCCTCGCGTTATCATGCGCCGTTCTTCGCGCGAAGGATGGGGCCGGGCCTGGCGTGTCGAAAGCGCTGGGTCTCTTGTGTCTCCTGGCGGCATCGATCGTGCCCTCGGCCGGCCAGCAAATGGACCCCGCGCAGATGCAACGCCAGATCCAGCAGCAAATGGGGGGCTCCCCGGGTGGCGGAGGCGGCGCCCCACCGCCGAACAGGATAAGTGAGAGACAACGGAGGGGAGCACGCCACACGGGGGCGGGTATTCCACACACGTATCCGTGCGTAATATGTTGGGGTCGCGGTCGATACCCTGGTGTGCGCTCTTGCAGATTCTGGTGGAATGCAGGCAAAGTCGAAAAATCCTGAAGTGATGTTTTTGGGTGGATTGGTGAAGTTCCTTGTGAGGGGAGGGTACAATATTCCCCCTCGCGACCGCAGATGTGTCGTTTTCCCATGTACATATTTATATACTTCTATATTAGAAGTAGGTATGTAATAGCTTTTGGTCTCCCCCGGGACAGTGATATGTACTGGTGTTCCTTGGTGCGACGCAGAAAAACGCTCGTTTTTTTTTTTCACAAGAATGAGATAAATATCAGTTTCTTGGATTTTCCTTCTCCTTCCGCTGCCGGCTATGCAGTGCATGATTAGTTGGCCAAGTACATACATGGTGTACTGTAGTTGTTTTCAACACGTCCCCGACTGCTGTACATCTCATTTAAAGTTTAGTAAACATGTTCGACGTCAACAAACGGTTGCCAGTTGTCTCGGCGATGCTGACTTTTCTTACCACCCCCTTCCTTAGCACACGACGCGTAGTTTGAGGTATAGCATGCCTCCATTGTCCCGGGGATAGTGAGCTATCGTCCCCTGAATTTTATGGACGCAACCCGCTTTAAGGACGCTTTTTTTCGGGAAAAACCATGTGCGTCCTTAACGCGGCGTCGACTGCATGGATAGACCGTCGCATTGTAACAAGAAAGTCATCTTTCCTCGCGGGCACCTTTTTTCGCCGCTATTCTCGCCGCCCAACCCTCCCACCCTTCTTCTATTCCTCATTGAACGCAGCCAGTGCCCGCATCTCTCTGGAGGTTGGTAATGTCCCCCTTGACCCCCCCCCGCCGCCTCCTCACCGTTGCCCCGCCATCATCACTTTCCCTACCCATCGTGGATGATAAAACGTGTTGCTTGTTGTTGTAGCCCACATGCTGTCCGCTGTCGGGGCCGGCGGTGCTTCCGCCGCTCACTATGCCCGGGCACACCCGCGGGCAGCGGTGGCGGCGACGGCGGGCGCGGCGACTGCGTTGTGGGTGGGCAAGGAGACGAGAAGATCGGGGGTGCTTGTGTGCAGCAGCCCTCGCATCAGCTTGTTTCGGGTGCGTGTGTGTGATGTGTGCAGCAGCTGAAAGTGCGCATGCACCCCCTCCCAGCGGTGCTTCTTGTGTAAGCTTTGCGTGAACCAAGCGAGTTTCGTTTGAAGAAGGCCATGGGACTGATGATGTACAGCGTCGCCCTCGGATCAGTCTGTTCGTGCGTGTGAACAGTCTTGATTGAGTGTGTGTGTAGCAGCAGCGTAGGGCGCGAGACAGACCATGGGTACGTTGTGTGCAACAAAGCAAGTGTCGTTGGCAGAACTTTACAAGTCGACGCCACGAGAGGCGATCGCCCCCACCCTGGGAAAGGATCTTTTTGACTCCGTGAAAGGTGTTGCAACAGATATTCGCCCTACATGTCCTGCTCTCATGAATTCATCGCTAGTGTGATGGACGACACTCAGCAGCTCAAGCTTGTCTTGACACAGAGACAGAGAGGGCTTGTCCCCAGGGAGTGCCGGTTGAGCCACGCCCCTTAACATCGGGCAGTTGTGGCCCTGAAACGTGTTGGCACGGGCGGAAAAACAAGAATGGAGCGGTGAACGAGGGATAGATAGTGTCGCGTGCCCTCAGTGGTGCCGTTAACCCCCAGTAGCAGCGAGGGCAGGCGACAGTGGCGGTTCACCTCCACTTTGGCGCACGTATGCATGGGACTACGCGAAGGCAGTAGTGGCCCCCTTGCCCTGTTGCTGCCACTGCCGTTGCAACTCTCGGGGCAACATCAACAACAATATACAGCATCGTGCTTCGAACCACAAGTCGCTCCAAAACCCGAAGCTGTTCTCCACCTCCAACTTCAACTTCAACTTCAACTCTGACAGCCGTCGGATGCCTACCTCTCCTGGGTGCTGGAATCGGCCGCCGAAGCTCCCGTGGCCTCCCCTCTTCGCGGCGTGATCTTGTCGCCACTGCAAGACCCTCAGGGGGAAGAGGAGCAGGAGGAAGGGCAACGGGATAGCAGTGCTAGTAGCCCGTCTGCCGAGGGAGGTGGGTGGTGGATTGTTGTTGTTGTTCCTGTTGCTGCTGCGGTCGTCGTCGTCGATGCTGGCGCGTGGATTTCGTTACAACGTGTCGTCAGCCGTGCTCGATGATTGGTTATTTCTCCGAGGGCGTGTTCGTGGTTGGGCGTTTGTTGATGTGACTTTAATCTGCTCGGGTTCGGGGTTTCGTAGCCTTGTGTGCGTGTGTGTGTTTTCTTGACCTCGCTTTTCGGCAGTCCAGTGAACAGGCATCAGTTTGGTGTGCGCGCTTGTCTTTGTTTGCATGTTTTCGGCAAGCGCCAAGTGCCCACGGCGGATGACGGCTGGACATTTTTTGGCGACTCACACCGATTTTGTTGTCCGAAGCAAACTTCGCACCTCAAAAGCATGAGAGGTGGTAGACGTACGAGCCAAAGCCGAACAATTTGACGACGGGCGCGAGACGGGCACTCATGGGCGGCAGTGTGTGCAAGGGAAGGGCGTGTGGCTCTGCGGCATGCAGGAGGCACGATGCTCTTGGCAGACACTTCACATCGGCTGGTGTGGCGCGACAGCACGAGCTCGCCGATGAAAGTATTTCGGCGTTCAGGTTTCTCGTCCCTCTTGCCGCTGCTGGCCCCTCCGCCGTTTCGCCGTGTTCGTTGTCGCCGTGAACGTATTTACACCAATCGCGATTGTGCCCACCCCGTCCGCGTATCTGTTTTTTGTCTGTCTGTCGTGTCTGCTGCACTGGTTGGTCTTCCTGTTCTTGTGTACATTTCTCTTGGCTCTAGGGTCTAGGAAGAGACGGAACTCGGGGAGAAGGCGTGTTGGGGGCAGCAGCAGCAGCAGCAGCAGGTACTGTGCCCTTTTTCTCCCCCCCTTACAGGAAGTGGGGGATCGAGGAGATTGCAGTAGTGGACCAGTACACAAACCTCGGAGTAGAGATCGCAAAAGACTGCTCGTGGAATGCACACATGTCCAAGGTAGCAGAAAAGGGCAAAGCACGAGCAGGGAAGCTGCATCCAATGCTCGCAAACCGGCACGTCGATACACGCATCAAATTGACGGTTTTGAAGAGCGTAATCGTACCGCCGCTAGGGCACGCCGGAGAAGTATGGGAAGAAAATAAGAAGGTAGTGAAAGAACTCGAGGCGGCGCAGATGAAAGCAGCGAAAATCATTCTATGATGCTCCAAGCGCACAAGTAATGCAGCCGTCAGGGCAGAATTGGGGATCCAATCCCTACGGTCGGGAAGAGACGCGAGGAAGCTGATACGGCAGTATCGCACGTGCGGGATGGGAGAGGAGAGGTTGGCGAGAATTGTATGGGAGGCGAAGTGGGCAAACAACAAGAGCGGTAGACAACCCACGGAGTGGGTCAAGGTTGTAGAGGACGTATGGAAGGGGCTCGACATCGACGAAGATGAAACGCTGGAAACGGAGGGTCTACAGGGGTTCAAGGAGAAGATATCTGTTGCTTGTGCCGAGAGAGAACAGAATCTAAGGAAAGAATCCAAGGATAAGGAGGGTCTAGAAGTGTACGGAATGTTGAAGGAAGGAATAGGGTTCAAGGACTACCTACATGGACCAATGGATGCAGGAACAAAGCTTAAGGTCAAATTCAGGACCGGGGACATAGGCCTTCGAGAACGTCGACGAAGACATAGGACGGTAGACGAGGAAGACGACGAGTTCAAATGTGATTGCGGCTTCGAATGCGAAGACCGTGTTCATGTAGTCGCGGAATGTCCGTTGTACAAGAAGGAGAGGGAAGTGTACGTGACTGAGCTGGGAAAAATAGATGGAACGTACAGGGAGATGTTTGAGGCATGGAATAGAGAGGAAAGGACGGTAGCTGTACTGGGGCATAGGAGGTGGGTTGAAAAGGCGGGAAGGGATATCGTTAGGATAGACAGACTAGGGAAGACATTTTTGAGCCACCTTTGGCAAAGTAGAAAGGAACGATTGGCCATCGGTGATCGGTCCTGTGGGAACAATGCTCCGTCCTCTCGAGGACGCGTGGTCAATGGTCTAACCGCTAAGGCATGCAAAACATAAGAGCACGCCCCCCCCCCCCCCCCCCCCCCCCCCCCCCCCCCCCCCCTGTAGCGGAAACAGCCCCTGCACCCGCCCCGCTACCGCCACCATGATCCGAGAGAAGCTTGATATGTTCATCCGTATGTGTTTTCTTCTCTCGCCGGTCTCCTTTCTTGTACAAGCGGGCAATGATCGAAGTCCCTCGCGGTAGTCGGCCTGCCGAATGTGGAACGTTTGGTTAGCCCGGATGCTTAATCAACCCACGACATATCCGGTTTGGCACAGTAAACACAAGTGAAAGGTAGCCTGGGCCAGCGGTGACCCGGCGTATCGCTCCTCCGTCCCAACGTTGTGATGCGAAGTCAGTGGTCTTCCGTCTAAGACATGCGTTTTCATGAGTATGAGTTGTTGCACGTACAGCATGACCAGCTGACTTGTAGCATAGTAATGTATCTGCTGTACATCTAACGTGAGTGCACGCCCCCGTGTTTGTGGCGGGAACGGCAAGGCTACGCAAGGGAGATGAGGAAGCCGGGGGCGCAGCCGAGATCCGCGCGGCCCTTGGGATTATGAAAAGTGGGGCGGGACAGGGAACCTACATGCACGAGGCGACGCACGGGAAGGGAGTGAAGTCGGTGTGCGCTGGGGTGCGAGTGGGCAAGGGTCTGGGCATCTACCACAAGTTCGCGCAAGGTGATCGGGAGGGAGACCGAGAGAGAGATGGGCAGGGACAGAGACAGAGATGAGATCTGATCGGTCTGAACGGGTCTTCGAAGACCACAACCAGATCGGAACGCGTTAGGCGTGTGGGCATGAATATCCCGAACGGGGTATGTACTTACAACAACTCAAGCAACGGCAATGGAAACGCTGCCGTCTGTACCCTGATTGCACTTTTGTGCATGTGTAGTGATTGATGTGCTCCCTTTTCTGTTGTGTGCGCGTTTACTCGTTTTTTTTTTTTTGCGAGGTAAGGTCTGGGGAAGCTCGACGTCTTCGACGGGCGGAGCGACTGTGAGCTGATGGCAGCCGAGTCGTCTTCGGAAGATGTGGTGAGCACGAGTGTGGTGTTTCGTGGGCGGTTCAGGAGGCGTGTTTATTTTCTTCAGCCGAAAAGGCCCGTTCGAGCGGCTTTCCAGCAGAGACAGAAGAGACAGAGACAGAGAGACAGAGACAGAGAGACAGAGAGACATAGACAGAGCGAGCCGTTGTTGGACTTAGTTGCGGGGTGTGCAAGAGAGGCGTCCACGTGGGGTATCGAGGCAGCACGTTATGCGTCGCGGTGGCATCTAGCCGGCGTTACGCTTGTGGCAAACATATCAACCTGTCCGACGCGTTCATGTCGTCACCAAGTTTGCCGTGAAGTTTCGGCACCGCTTCTCTACCGTGTCCGCTCGCTCGTGCGGCAGCACCGTTTTCTGGCCTACCGTAGATGACACAAGATATCACACCCCCTAGAATGGTGTTCAACGCTCTTCTTTTCTCCACAGCAGAAGTAGGGGCGAGGCAAAAAGTGTAGGTAGTAGCGCTTTCCGAACATGTGTCGTTAGGGTAACACACCTTCTTTCGCGGAGTAGTCGAGCTCTGAAAATCTACGAAGGGTGTGGTATCTTATGTCACCTGCGGTATACACCCAGTCTCTCTCTCTCTGTCTTTCTCTCTTTGACGACACCACCTGAGGAAATCGGAGGCCTCACGCTATGGCCGTGTGTATGAGATCATATTTTGTTCGTTTCGGCGGCAACACTGTTAAAACGCCCCCCCCCTCCGTCCCCCCCTTCTCCGGTATTGCCATCGGGGCTGGGTTTTCGTCGCTTGGCAACGACGTTGTAAAACAAGCCGCCGCCCCCGGTGTTTGCCATCGGGGTTGGGTTTTCGTCGCTTAGAGCGATGTTGTACTAATCACTTCGTGAGCCCGGCAACCAGGTCACCGCTTTTTATTTGCCTTTGGTTTTTTTCTTTGCGGTAACCCTAGCGGTGGTCGAGTAGATCATGTTGTGCGGGGTCTAGAACCCTCACTCCCCGCAAGGGGGATGATCGCACCACGTTGTGTTAAAATGGTCAAGCACCCTC